GCTGCTAGGTCAAACTTTTATGCTATCGCTAATTGGAAGTTCATAGTGGATTAATGGGATTTTTAACTTTAAATTATAGAGTATATTAACGAATGAGGTATCATATGAAAGCTTCTTTGAAAGCTCTCATATTCATTGCTTTCGCCAATAAACATTTTGTATGAAAACGTTCCCATGTTGTGAAATTTTTTGATAGAGTTTTATAAACAGCTTTTAAGAATAAAGTTAATTATGAACGAAAAATCTATTGCGAACAAAAAGTTCGCAGGAAAAACAAATATTTTTATGAAAATCGCATCCCTGATGATGAGGAATATTACCAGCATTACACGAGTATATATATTACTGTGTTTATACAATCATTGATATCAATGTTATATGCAACCACCATGTTTCCCATATAATACTTCATATTTTTGTAGGTTTGTTACAATATTTACTATTAATTAGATAGGTCCAAAATTCTACGAAATAAATTAACTTAAAAAATCACATAATTTTTTCTTGTACCGTTCTTCCTGTACATCTAAAATCATAGAAATTTATTCAGATAAGTGCATTAGTTTGCTTTAATATATGATTGGTAAATTTAAAATAATATGGTTACGTCAAACAATACGAACAGTTATCATAATATTGTAAAATATGAATGTTATGTTACTCTCAAATCATAAAGATGATTATGAGAAGCATATACTTGTTTGCAGAACAATACACATTTGTCTATAATTGCGTCATTTGAATGATAAATTTCAGGTAATATTACTGCGACAATTAAATATGTAAATGATTATATTGACCGTAACACATATTAATTTCTCGTAATAATGCTTGAATAAATTTGTTAACCGTGATCAAATCTGCACAACTCTCATTTGTATAAAAATCCAAATGCTTCTAAAAATTACTACCGTTTTGGAGTATTCTAATGCACACGTATGTAGATACATACATATATCTATGTGAATATATACGCCCAATTGCTTAAAGTTGTTGCGTCAATGTCCTCCTTTTAAGCCACATACTTTACACAACAAAATTGCACTGAATACAACACAAAATAGAAGAATATGAAGAGCTTTTTCTTCAACATGAAGCAGCTAACGTTTATTTTTGTAATATCTTTTGAATGCATAATAACACACGTACATTCATACATCCATATACTGAAAAACACATTTATATATAGTAGACGTACATGTTTATCTACATGTACATACATATGTGCATCGGGCGGATGTTAGTAATATGTATTGTGTATGATTTAAATGTGGAATAATTTTCCTTTTTTAAGTTGTTATGAATACAGTGATCGAAAAAGTTTCAAGGGAACAATAGAAAATAGATATGACTGTGATGAAATTGAAGTCTGAACGATCAGAAACCTTTATTGCTCATATTGGTCTTTTTTACACATTTGCAAAATAAGTCGAAGTGTTCTACGTGAATATCTGCAGTGTTGGCCTTATTTGACGGTAGCACTTTTTCAACTATAGGGTGAGCTAATTGGACGACTCACCACCACGCAATTTTTGTACATTGTTCTTCCGGTCCATGTATAAGCACTTAGCCCAAGTACTCGAGCTATCTAATCTCTGACCATTGCTGCCTGTTACTGAACTTCCGAGATGCATAAAGATCACTTCCATTTACTTCGGCGCTATTGCCGACTGAACAGGACTTGTTCTTACTCACACAGAACACACTGTGTAAATCTGGTATGAACAGAGTTAACTCTGAATATACCTGGTAAAGGAAGGGAAATTCAATGATATCACTTGTATAAGATACCTTTCAACCATCACCATTCAACCCAACACACTTCTCATGTAGAACAACATCCGACGCAATCACTCTAGGTATACGGGTAGGTAAGGTCCCCAAACCCATACATTTATACCATACACTTAGTTAGTTAGTTAGCTTGAAAGGAGGATTTATAAACATACAGCAAATCCAAAGAAATAAATCTAGGCCTCTATCGGGCCTGTTGTGCGCTCCTTAACCAGTGGAATCAAACCCACCACCTCCGGTCTACCAGACTAGAACACTAATCACTAACCTTCCGGAGGCCACATATACACTTAACACCAACTCATTTCCAATGGTTAGTCCCACAGTCACTCCTCTGTCTCGACAACAGCACCGAATTATTCCCGCGAATTTGGCTTTAAGCCACAACCACCACGTGCACCATGAAGGGACCTCTCCAATAACCGGGGCAAGACAAAGTCCTAAACTTTACCCTGCGGGTTACAGGTTTCCGTGTTACCAGTAGTTCTCAGGTTCGTCCCCATGTCAAATCATTCCAAGGATTTATTCGATCATCACCAGTTTATAGTGCCGGCAGACTAGAGGCACTGGTAGCACCTTTTCCTCGGGATTGCAATATCACCAAGATGAGAGTCTTTTATCAAGGTAACATGCCGCCGGGAGGACACCTTTTAAGAAATCGTAAATAACTCAGAAGTTTATGAACGGTCGCAAACGGTAAGGGAATCTATTGTTACTAAAGCCAACCCCGTTTATAATGACATCCGAATGAGCAGTAAAATTTGTTTGTTATTCGCAAAATTCGGTTTAAAATGGGTGAAGTTTTTGCAGATGAAAAAATAAAGATCCTTTGTACGGAATTAAAACAATATTCATTTATTTCACCAATTCAATTATGATTTTAACGCATAATTATTGAAGTTCGTTATAAAAAAGAAAAATTGCAAGAAATAGTACGTGAGGGACTGAAAAGTAATTCATTTTATCCGAGGATTCGTTATAATCAACTCTGTTATAAGAGATGTTTTTTGTAAGAATATACACAGCTACTAAAATATTAACAGTATTATAATTAAAATATTCCTTGTCACTGCCTGACACTAGCTTCTGAAAATTTAAGTATTTTGGAATAAACATATTTAGTCGCTACGAACAAAGTCCCCAATAAATTAAATTCTCAAACCGATAATGAACTAAGTCCTCAAATTTTTATATTGACAAAAAAGGCGTCATAAAATAACTCCCCAAAACAAAAATGAAATAACTCCTCAAATTTTGAAAATTATTTCATTATGAAATAATTCCCAAATTTAAAAATGAAACAAATCTTTAATTTTAAAATGAAATAAGTTCCCATTTAAAAATTCTACGTCTAGATATAGACAATAAAAAATAATGGAACAAGTCGGTTTTAGTAACATTTTAAAAAAGAAGTAGGTCGCTCATACTTTCGAGTGGGGCTTCAAAGTTTAATACATTTCAGTTTAATCGCTTAATAAAGATTTCCTTTATAGCCGGTCTGCTGCCGGGCGCAAGGACTTTCTACTTCATGGTATGTCCAACAACGACTTTGGTTAATAAATATTTCCTAAATAGCCGGCCTACTGCCGGACGCAAGGATTTATCACTCTATCATATGTCCAACACCGGCTTTGCTTAGTGAAGATTTCCTAAAGAGCCGCCCTAAGCCCGTACGCTCTTGATACAGGGAGATAGTATTCTTAGCGAAGCCGGTATCCAATATACCGCAGAGGATAAAACCCTTGCGCACGGACGAAGGCCGGCTATCAAACATATGTTTTTTTATTTAAAAGTAATATAATGAATTAACTCCCCAAAAATATTTTTACGCATTTATTTCTTTTTTGAATTTCGAGGAATTATTTCATAATGAAATAACTCCCCATTTTAAATGTGAAATAATGCCCCAAACAGCGAATTAAATCCCCTAATTGCGTTGTTTTTGCTTTCTGAACAAATTTTTTAGGGAGTTATTTCGTGGGGAGTTATTTCATGACGCCCCTGGCACTAGTTTCTGAAAATTTAAGTATTTTGGAATAAACATATTTAGGCGCTACGAACAATGTCCCCAATAAACTTTTTTGTGGTTTTATTTCATTCTCAAGATTTTCCTAAATGAACTTAACCCCTAAAATTATGTTTACAACTTATCACGTTTAGGAAATCAGTTCATTGGGAACTTAGTTCGTAGCGCCAGCTGAAATGACTTCCCATTTCAAATGTGAAATAAGATTTCGTTATTGTGGCTTTCTGAACATATTTTTGGGGAGTTATTTCATGACTCCAAAGCTTTGTATGCTATTTTTATTCGTGCTTTTGTAACCTGTGTATTTTTGGGGCTATTTTTCGTTTTTGACTGGGATAATAGCAAAATTCTCTTTTGGTGCAAGCATGCCGACAAAGCGGTGTTTAAGATTTTTGCTTTGGTATGCCTTTTATAATGTACTTTTCTTGACAATGGAACATGGACTCAATAGAGTCGATCTTTGACCGACTTCATCATTACCTAACCACCTTCGACGTTAAGTCCGGATTAGGAAATTCTATATTTTTTACTGCTGCAACAATCAGTGCTTTTCTGTTGATAATACAATTTAACCCGAATGCATTTAAACATTTAATAGACAGTGTAGGATTCATTTATTTCTTCGTCATCTATTCAAAACATTTTATGAACAGCAGAAAGTTTCAGTGTTGTGCCATCGTTTTTTTTTTCTTTTTGTTTTTATTAAGGTTCTTTTGTTATTATTATTAAAAAATGTATGTTGAGTTTGAGTATGAGTTTAAGTATTAAAACTTGTTGAAGACCTTTATAAAACATGTTTGTTGCATACGAGCATAGATACATACATAAATACATATTTACTTGCAATCCCACATGCACACATGTACTAAATATGAACCAAAAATAATATAATAAAAAAATATATCCTTTCATGACCACAATGTGTTGTTAGTGAATTCGTGGGGTATGGGGTGAAATTGCAATCTTAGGTTTGCATCTACAATCAACACATTTAATGTTAATTTTTGTATTTAAGTTTAAGATTTCTCAAGAATCTCTCCTCCCTAGTCTGATGCTTGTATATGTATTTCTTTTATGTATAACATATTCCATTATATTTCCTGTTCCTTTTTGGAGCAGGAGTATACAGACAATATATCGTTTTATTAACTTTTTTATGATATTTTCATTCCACTTACAGATGCTTCGAATTACTTTGACACCCAGGGACCCAACTTTTCACATGAACCACCAAGTCGCATTGAATTTACAAACACTGCTGGTAATATTGCAGATTGTATAGCACACGGTAATCCTCCACCTAATGTTGAGTGGTTAGACAAGGAAAACAATCCTATTACATCTATCTCAAAGGTAAGACAAATTATTCTACGCACATACGACACGACCATCAACGCCCCCGCTCCGATATCTAGTCGTCATAAACATCACCATCTTCAGCTACTATATCGAAAAGAAAAATAAAAACGAAAAAATCATTAAAGTTAAAAAAGTTGCTTAAACAAACGTTAACACACGTACATATTTGCATACAAAACAAACTTAAACTTACTCATACATTGTATTCGTGTTTTTTACATACGAAAGCAGATCAAGAAGTTACTTTTCTTTATCTATTCTAAACATCTGTAATCAATAGAAAAATTAATTTATGTGTGTTTGTTTATTCACGAAAAATAATTTATAACTAGAGTGAATTTTTTGGCGTTCTTTGAGTTCAAATGCAGGTTTATGATAGATTGAGTGCCCTTGAATAAGCTTTTAATATATTACTTACACGTAGAACTTGTACGTAATGTCCATTTTAAATAATTTGAATTCGTGTCGAATCGGTCCATTGTTTCACGCCATACAAGGGATCTCCCTAATACAGCTTTGGAGCTCATAATTACGTTAAAAATGTGTGTATCTTTATCAAAATAGTTTCCATAATCATACTACCGATATTCGTAATGATGGGTCCTTAATCTACCATAGTCCCTATTCAGAATCTCCTTCCCAAAATTCTTTTAACATCCATAAGATCTTTTGTGCAGCTCTTTGGTTCACCATTGGAGATTAAAATCACGTATAAACCTTAATGTTTTAGACGGTGAGAGATTGAATAATTCATAAGGCGATACAAATGCAGAATACTAGCTCTGAGAGGCCATAGTGGCTGACAGTCACAAAGTACGTGTTCGGAGGTTTCATCCTGCAGTTCACAGAATCTGCATAACCTCGTTATTACCAAGAATATGTAATTACCCATAGGGATGGCTTTTTGGAAATTTGGGCTATAGATTCCCGCTCCAGTGTTACTATTTATCTGTTTGGAACCGCTAACTTCTCATGGCCTCCGTTATGGAAACACAAATGAGACGATACATTTTGTCCAGTGAAGCCCTTATCGTATCCTGATCTACCTTCTTCCACTATACCAAAGCAGCATAAGTTATTATGGTTTTTATTACGGTTTCAAAGGTCTAACTTTAAACTTTATATATCCAATGCTGTCAATAAAGCCACCAGGGCTTATATGATTGTGTCAAAGACTTTTTGATGGAACGTGGGGCTTAAAGATCATTCATGGTTTTAATGCCCTGGTGGCTTTATTCATAGATATAGAAATTTCCAGTTTTGAGTCTTATAGAGAATGATCCCCAGGTATTTAACATTGTCCGAGAATTTAATAACAGAGTCATTCAAAACTGGCTCGACAAGTCTCAGAGATCTACGTCTTGTGAATGGTACAAGGATAGTTTTCGATGGATTGATTGACAGTCCTCTTTTCTTGCACCATTTAAAAGTTAGATCAAGTAGCTCCGATATAAAATATTTTATTGATGTAAATACAAATACATACACATTTTCTGAATAAAGATAAGTAAGTACAATACGAATATGAATGAATTTGGATAAAATCGTTTTCATCACTATCCGAAACGTTTGTCAGATTTTGAAAGAATTTTTGGGTTTGCCATTATATATTTCAGAATATAAATATTTACATATACATATATGTACAGATGAACTTAGGTAGTAAAAACACAAACACTCTAAGTGTATGTATGTATAAATATATAAAAACATTCACATAGTTTAAAATTACAAAGTAGTCGTGTAGATAAATAAGTATGGAAGTGTAAAGGATTCATATCTGTTGAAAAAGTTTAATTTGCAATTATCCAGATCATGTCACATGAAAAGTGCCCAGGTTTTTTTATTGAAATTACAACTTTTATCCTTTTTATTTACTTACACATACATATGTATATATGTATGTTCATACTACATCTGTACATATACATAATATGTATAAACAAATATTTAGGTGTACGAGAAAGTATTAGTTTTCAAGTATTGCATATACTGTTTTATTTGAAAAGTAATCATATTACAGAAGCGTGTTCATGTAACAAGAGTTACTTCTAATTTAAAATCACTTTTACGCTTTAAGTGTTGATAGACATTGAAATTTCAGGAAATATGCAAAGTGTAATGTTATCTTTTCAAATTGACAATACGCAATATTGACTGTCTGTCATAAGATGAAGTGCTGATGTTTTCGATGGGAAACAAAAAACCTTGGCTTAAAATATATTGTCCAATTTCATGTGCCTTTATCGGTCGCATAGAAAGCTTATTTTTCTTTATTGGATATACCCATCCCATTCATTAATATACTTTAAATTTAAAATCATTATTTTCTCTAAAAATTTATCAAAAAACTAAGTTGAAGATTTTTTAATAATTATAATTTTAATACTCAGAAAATAAGTTTAACGTACATTATATGTATTTAAGGGAAATAAGTTTAACTGATCAAAAAAATACAATAAAGTTTTCTTAAAATTTTTAATTTTAATATAAATATGATTTTAATTATATCCCAGCTAAAATTAAACAAAGTACTTCCAAATTAATCAGATAGGTATATCATCAGAAGAGATGAGGAGGCTCTGAATATGACCTTGAGCTGTGTTTAACCGAGATCCCTCAGTGTTAACTCGGCGAAGACGGAAATCTGTCTTTTCACAAGAAAGACAAAAATGTCTAAGTAACACTGTTTCCTGGGCAAGAAGATACCTGTGACAGACAGATTAAAATGGAGACACCATATAGAAGATAGGACCAACAAGGACATCGGTGCTGGTCGATATGTTGGGGAACTATAGAGTTAAGAACATAGATGTAATCCTTCACAGAAAATTGAAATGGAGACACCACATATAAGATAGGATCACCAAGGCAAATCGGTGCTGTGCGGTGTGCTATATTTAGGAGAACTATAGGCATGAAATGGGGTCTTAATCATACTATGACACATTGCCTTCATAAAAGAGTTATTCGACCAATTTAAGGTTATGTTTCAATAATCTGGTGGACTTCTTTGGACAAAAAGTATAATATCAAACTACCACAGGGAGTTTAGCGTACATGCTGCTTGAATTCTCCCAGAGGTAAGGTTTACATCATATGGATACAAGGCTACTCGGGAGTTTGTCGACTACTCTACTACTAGAAAGGGCGAATGTATTAACTTTAGAGGGAAGGGAGCTCGAGGCTCCTAGTTGTTACTACAATATTAAAATGTATGTACTTCCAAAAAATAATGCAAGTCTTGATTAAATAACTAAACAATATTTGGGAGAAAAAGGAGGTTGAAAAATTCCAAAAATTACAAACTAAATTGGACAACAAATTCGATTGGATCATAACTCATACGGTTCATTATTTATGGGTCTCTAAATATGAGCATGTCGGGTATTTTTGTGAAAAATTATAATTTTTAAAGAATGAATAACTTTGGAACCCGTTATTCGATTTTAACAAATGAGGTTTCGTTCCACAGAACTTCACTTACTCGTTATTGACATTTCATAAAAATTACATGACGTCCTGTCAAAGGACCAAAATATATAAAATATCCATTATCATTGAATATCATAAACACTTATATTTTATTTTTCCAAATTTTTATACGATTCTGAGTATACTTTATTTTTGTGCGTTACAAATATCAGCACAAACGCATAATGCTCTCCCCTGATCTTTATTTGTTTATTTAAAAAAGTGTATGGGTTGCGTCAAAATTTAAATTGTAATTCATAAGCTTTTTTCCAATCATTGTTAGTGTGGGATGTTAAATCCGGATTTGGATCCAATTTCGGCGAAAACCTGACAATGTCAAAGAAAGTGCTCCAGTGTTTCACTGTCCTCTCTACATGCTCTACATTTGTTCAATTTTGTATAGGTGTGCCCATAATCCTATGTAACCACTCAGAATACGTACCATCATACTAACCTCAGACTTGCCAATTTTGAGGAGGCTTCTCGTCCTGCTCTCGTTAGGGTCACCCCATAGGATCTTTGTGGTTATACACACGGTTTCATTATTCCAGAAGACCTTATAAGTTTCTCTCACCCATAAAAGTTTAAATCATAATTACGATTTAATTAAATTAAAAGTTTTCAAAGAACAATATTCTGATGAATAAGCACTAAAGTGTTGTCCTGCTGTATATATGTATGTATTTACAAGTTAAATGTAACGACAGTTTTATATTGTGAAATATGTAGAAACTATTTATTTCCAATATTTATTTTTTTTATTTTAGAAATTTAATTTTGACAAAACACATGATCTAGACCAGTGTACACTAAACAGGTATATGCAATCGAACAGCTGATAATTTTTTTGTTTTCTTATTTGCATACCTTCTCTGTCAAAATATGTTTTTGTTTATTTGAAACAAAATAAAATTTTAATAATAAAAAAATTTTAAATGTTTAGTTTGTAAAAAAATAATATTGTTTGCACAAAAAATACATTTCAACCATCTTCCGCATTGCGCCCTTTCTGAGGTCCGCTGTCTTTAGCCAAACTTCATCCGTTTAGAATAGAACTTTAATGGCACAAATCAGGTCATTCCAGATATCAACTATCCCCCGTATTGCGCACGTTGAGAAGGCTGTTGTCTTTAGCCACACTTTGGTAGCCACAACACAACTTTATTGGCACAAATCAGGCCAATTCAGATATCAACAATCTTTAGTATTGCGCCCGTTTTCGCCCACTTTCGTTTGCCAAACTTTTGTAGCTAAAGATACAAATTTCGTGGCACAAATCAGGTTATTCCAAAATCTTGCTTTTGTCAGGTCCTCTGCCAATTCCTCTGTAACATTTACCAATAGCATCCACCTTAATATAAGTATATAAACATGCATATCCCTTAAAATTCCATTTAAAATCACTGCATGTTTTTTGAAATAAAATTAAGAATTTTTTTAAAAGACAAACATCAAAAAATATTTTAATTTATTTTGACATTGAGCTCATACAATTACAAAAACAAAATGTTGTTTTTGTATTGTTGTAGTGATGCATATACCTGTTTAGTGTACCCTGATCTAGACCATATAGTAGGGATATAGGCGAAAGTGAAGGGGTTGTCAAACAAAATTTGTTATTCTCTTCACACAGACGAGTTCTGAGAGAATAAAACACACTTAAGAAAACTAAGCGCACTCACAAAACTTCAAATTTTCTTCGCGAAATTGCGAGGATATTAGCACTTAAGCGATTTTCTTATCACTTAAACTTAATATTTATTATTTTTTGCCACACTTTTAATGTATTTAAAACCCCGAAAATAATTTATATTTTACAAACGAAAAAAAATATTTTTTATTTTTTGACATTTCATTTTAATTAAAACTGAAAAAAGAAAAGTTGTAAATTTTCGTATTGAAAATGAAAAAAGTGTATTACATACTTTTTCCATTGGTGCAGAAAAAAATAACAAAAAGACGTGTTTATAATATGTTTTAAGATGAAATATCTTCTGAAAAAAAATAATTAACTAATATTTTCATTCACTAGTATATGAAATCTGGGTAATAAGATACAAAAAATAACTTATCAAAAATACATTTATTAGTTAGTACCTTTTTAACAAGTATGTTTATTTTTGTGCTTCTACTAATACATTCTCACCAGTTAGGTTTTTGACAGGGGACTTAGGTCTTTGACAATCCCTTTCGCCTATATGCTACTATATGATCTAGACCATGATAAAAATATGAAGGTAGTGTCATTCCTCTCTCTCAAAAAAACTTTTTGAAGTTTGCTGGTATTTTTTGAAATTCGTATTTTGTAAATAAATAGAACATCGTTGCCATATATGAAAAAGGGAAAAATAGTTTCTAAGAAATTTTGTGTTGTGATTGTGGAATTTATGTTAATAATTTTCACAATAATTTAGGTCCAGTGGTAACTGTTGTCGAGCTGTACCGATTAAAAAAGGTATTGTTTTAGTTTGTTATTTAAATTGTATAATGTAGATTATCATTTAAAACGGGTTTGAAGCAATGTATAATTATGTCCTTAGGTTTAGGTTAAGAAGGTTTATGTGCCATAAAAAGGACAACATCCAATCGGAGACCATAAGGTTCATTGTAATTCCCTTCAAAGACACTGAAGATCCAAAGACAGAGAAACAAGAACACTAAAAGGAAACAAGAATGATATAAAATATATAAAAAGGAATGATGAAATGAAACTGGTCCATTCTCATGGCGTTTCAACACAGAAGATTTACCGTTTGTTATGGAAGATTTCATGTTTGTTATGGAACCTATTCCCCAGCCATTTCAACCTAATATTCTCTGTCCTAGGATAGTGGCAAATTATATGCTCGATGACTCTAATTCCTACCCGTTAGCATGCCTATCAGAATCCTTGGAATGCGTTTACCCAGTCCTATAAGTATCTTGGTAGTCTTCACATCAAGTTCTGTCCCTAAGGCCTTTTACATTTTGCAATACAATCTACTATTCCAGGACTGCTTAATGATGTCACCCATTCCCTCGAATATTAACATGTAATAATGGTGTCCATATTAGACAATAAACTGGAAGCAAAGTACTTAAAGATTTCGTGAATGTAAAATTTTTTCACTCGAAGAAAACCGTGTATACTTGGACCGGATGGAGCTCTAATTGCAATTGCTTGATACGGACAGCAACAGACATTCAATTTGATATAGGACTTAACAGGAAGTTTATAGTTTTGATTGAATTTTTTGTACATTTATTTAAATTTTTATTGATTTTTTTTTATTACATTTGTACATTTTGATTTTTAGTTTAAATTGAATTTTATTTTTTATTTTGATTAATCAATAAACAAACAAAAAATGGGATTTTCAAAGTAAATGTGGTAGCTCGATTTATTAAAATACCAGCAAACGTCAGATGGTTAATATGGCGACAAAAGGAAAGAATGACACTACCTTGATATATTTATCATGATCTAGACAACATAAAATATTATATTTTTTACTGAAACGCTTTCACCTTACTTATTACATCATGAACTCACAATGTCATTTATTTCCATGATATTATTATTGAATATGATATACATACACGTTACATTTAAACTGTTAATCATAAATGTGGGAAATACATACCTCGACAACAATTTTGAAAAACAAACCAAGCTGTCAAACTTTCCGTTTCTAGTCCGTTGTTGTTGTAATTCTTAAAATTCCTATTAGTTTTGATAATTCACAAAAAAACAACATCACTTAACCAGACTATACCCTGTATCAGTATTTTAACCAACATTCTCTTCCCGCGAATTTGGGTTTAAACCACAGCCACCACGTGCAACCCGAACGGACTTCTCCAATAACCGGGACTGGACAAAGTCCGAAACTCTGCCTGGTTCCCAGATTATAACGCTCCCTGGTTCACCGTAGGTCATTCTAAGGAAAGGGCGAGGATACATTTGACTCCACCAGTTTATAGTCCCAGCACCTCTGCACTAACACCAAAATGAGGGAAGATCATCAAGGAAACAAGGACACGCTTCTGTAAATTTCATTGGTATTTCGCCAAAATTTTAAGTACTACGGATATGTTATTTATAGTGACAACTAATGGATCACACAAATCCCCTTGCCAGCGAATTGCTGTTATTAGAGAGTAACAGACTACTGAGAAGAAATCAAATTATCGAGAACTTTTATTGAAATGCCAGTGACAGTAACAAAGTTAGTTATAGATTATTTTCAGATATGATTAAGATGTCCTTAGTAAAGTATAACTTCCATTACTTTTTGCTGGGAAATAATAAAATAAATTTTACGCTTATTGTTAGTATAATCGTAATTTGTAGAAAATTATCTTTCCAAAAAGATAAAAAATTTTAAATTGTTTGAATAATATTACAGACTGCATGTAAAAGAAAGAAATTAAGTTTAATAATTTGAGGAATTAAAACAAATAATCCAAAGAACAATTAAGTAATTCCATAACGTTTTTTTTTTTAATTTTTTTCAGGTTCGACATATCCTAGCAAATGGCTCATTGTATTTTCCTCCATTTGAAGCTGATGAATTTCGGCAAGATGTTCATTGGTCAGTATATCGGTGCGTAGCAATGAATGCCGTCGGTTCCATTGTATCGCGTGATGTAGTCGTGAAAGCTGGTACGTATTGAACAAGACAGTCTTTTGTATTTTGAATACATAAATTTTTTGTAATTCTTTTCATATGTCTGAGTACAGAGCAGTAAAAAAATACAATTGCCCATTTTTTTAATTTGAATATGCTTTTTTTACTGTAATTTATATTCCTTCCCTATCAGTGGTTAATCAACGTTATGAACCGGAAGTACAAAATCCTGGTGGGTTTATTGGCAGTAACGTCTTAATCAAATGCAATATACCATCCTTTGTGAAAGAGTACGTAACGGTCACATCATGGTTACAAGAGCCCAACTTTAATATTTATCCATCACTGGAAGGAGGTAAGATTTCACATACTCGACCTATTGTGTCTATCGTCGTTGTGTTTTCGTTTTAAGTTTGTGTGCTTGCGGATGAGGGGATGTCGTTTTGATACAATAAATAAAATTGCAAAATCAAACATCCGTCTTTATGGGGTTCACATGAGTGACCTTAATTTAATAAATTTTCCAATTTCTTCTTTTTCAATTTGCAAAACTACAACAACAATAATCAAATTCAAAAAAAAAAAAAAAAAACAACTAAAAAGATGGTAAAAATCACATGCTACCGACCGGAGAACTACTGGTGTACAACATTACACGCACGGATGCTCTTAAAATTTATCGCTGTCGTACACATCACAAATTGACGCAAGATTCGGTTGTAAGCAGCAATGTGGGCAAAATTCAATTGACCGGTAAGAATGTTCATTTCTTTTTTCTTGGTTATTTTTTGTTATTGTATTATTTTGGCCTAAACTTTAAAGAAAATATGTACTACGAAACATACACTTCTCAAACAGAACTTAATTATTTTTTTATTTTCATATCTTCCTCTTTTGCTACCATTTTTTACGTTCAAAATTAAATTCTTTAAAGAAATGCGAGAATTGGTGCCACCGATAATGAACGAAAAAGTTGTAAGCATCACTGCACGAGTGGGCGATCCCGTGGTGGTACCATGTGTGGCATATGCAAATCCCAAGCCGGTATATCGGTGAGTAAATAGCACTCATACAACTATAACCATATGCATACATATACGCAATGATGTACATACAAGAGAACACACTCATGAATGCATGAATCCATCCATATTTTTACAGAATTTTCAGTCCAATTTTTGCGTTTATGCTTTTTTATTATCCTTCTTTTAATCCTTTCCGTTCGTTGTAATATTTATTAATGAAACGACAAAGTTTGAATGTGTCTGAGTAAATGAAAAATGTGTTGTGCACAAAAAATGAAAGACATGAAATTATTTCTATCTGAGAATATGGAAGTGTAACAGGCAGATAGTAGAAGGCAAAAGCAATTAAAATGTCAGAGTTTGAAAACGGCTAAAAAATATCAGTCGTTGCAATGCGAATTTTTATTCCAGTGAATATTCAAAATATTCATTTTTGTTTTCAATTCCGTTACATTTTAATAGTTCTTTATGATGTTTTAAATTTTATATTAAAGTCATTTATAGCACTTATTTAACAACATTTATTGAATATGCAAAATCATAAAAATTAGCTTTTAAATATGTTTAAAAACCGAAATATACCACCGTTTACCTAATCACAACACTAGCTTCCAGGCAGAAGTCCGATCAATAACGGAATGCGTGAATTGGATTAGAACAAATATGGCGCCCATAAGGCTTAACAAATTTACCGACAGCCAGAATGTAATTAGGGCGATATCAGGTGATAAAGTTAAATTTAAAACCGTATAGGATTGTAAAAAAGCTCCAACCGAATACTCTCCCAGAGGTAAAGTTCACACCATATGGGTACCAGGCCACACTTAAAGGGAAGGGAACTCGAGGTAGTTAACCTGACAAACGCAAAACCATTTGACGCAACTAGGCAAAATTAAAATTATGGATGGGAGAAACCCATAAGGGCTCTCGGAATAATGAAACCGTGGGTAGAACCACAAGGATCCTATGGTGTGACCATAACGAGAGCAGGACGAGAAGCCTCCTCAAAATGACCAAGTCTGTGGTTAGTATGATGGTACGTATTCTGAGTGGACACACACGATTAGGGCACACCTATACAAAATGGGACGTGCGGATTCAGATGGAGAACTTTTTTTGCCATTGTCAGGCTTTCGACGAAATTAGATCCAAATATCTTAGAAGTGATATTATTCCGGATATAATATCCCTCACGAACACCGATTGGAAAATTCTTAGGAATTATGTCCAGGAAACTGAGTTTCTAAACATCGGACGATAATACATTTAGTGAATACTATATAAGGGTTTTTTTACCAACAAAAATTTACCATGAAAAGGACCGCACAACAGGCCCGATAGTGGCAAAGGTGTATTTCTTCGGATTTGATGTAGATACATCCTCCTATCAACCTAACCTAAATATATTCATAAGACCTAGCCGAGCGCTTTCTGAGAAATATAAAAATCTCTGAAATGGAATGGGAAACAAAAAACTGGCACTCGATTAAAAATTTGACATATCGAAAGTACCCCACTTTGAGCTCTCACACAGCCGCCCATGTCAAATTTTATCCGGATCGCAAAAGCCGTTTAGAATTGATAGATTTATTTCCAAAAAATTATATTTTATCCCACTGTGCACCCGTATGCGGCTTTGGAGGTTCCAATTATGTTTAATATATATGTATCTGTATCCCAAACTTTTTTAATAATAATATTGATAGGACCAGACATTTAGAAATGCCAGATTTATTTCCATAAAATGGGATCCTGCCTCACTGTCCAAATAATCTCTTTGATGAATCTTCCTGGGTTAAAAGAAGTCTTCCTTTACTATAAACGGAGGATGTCATTAGACTCCTCGTTCATTCCTTAAAATCATTTGACTTGAGGAAACCACAAATTCTATATTATCGGGTACCAGTGTTGCCATATATTTTTTGAAGAAAACTTTTTATTTTTATGAAAAAAACTTTTTTTCAACAAAAAAAACTTTTTTTGTACTAAAATTACAAAATACCCAAGAAAATTTAGTGAAAAAATGAGCAAATTGAGGAATTTTAAATAGCTTAATGATAATTGGTACAGAACTTTTCCTTAACATCAGTAGCAAGGAATTACTGGATATTGTGGTCTTAGACACCATAAGTTTACACTTGAAATGTCATGATGAATCTATGTAGATTCTGTATACTACAAGAGGAAACCTCTGAACTTTTGTAACTACCCGTCATTGGGTACTCGAAACACGAAAATTTTGTCTTACCCAGACCCAGATGATATCTTCAAACACTCACCGATTAATCCATTTATCTTCATGCGCGAATTTGGCCTAGTATGGTGAACCAATGGGCTGCACAAAATCTCTACAATATGGTCGAAGTGCATTGTGTCCTTAATGTCTATTCTAAGGGATTAAGGTCATCAACACCGGTTAATTTTTTTCAGTTTTTAGGAATATCTCGAATATTAATGGTATAAAATATTATTTTGTTAATGGTAAACATTGTTTTTTTATTTTAAAGTTATTTATTGATTAAATAAAATAAAAACTGAAAAACTGTATAAATTTAAAAAAAAACTTTTTTTATTGGAATAAAACTTGAAAACTTTTTTGAATCTCAAAAAACTTGCAAAAAAAGGGAAAACTTGACATATGGTAACACTGTCGGGTACCAAGAGAGTTTCGGACTTTCTCTTGTGACGATCATTGGAGCAATCCTTTAGACGTACACATGGTTGAAGTGGTTGGACCCGAAACGTGGGATAATAATGTTGATTTAAAGATATATTTCAGGATAAGTTCGGAGCTGTTGTCGGACACCAGATACCCCTCAGAGATGTGACTATGAAAAATATGCAAATGTATGTATTTATCAAGTTCCATATACTATGTGCATATATAAAATGCGTAGAACCTGAAATGGGCCCAGATCCAACGTTATCATTATTTTTAAATCTACATACATAAGTCTAACAAAATTTAATTTTCTGTTAACATAAGACAATATGAAAATGACTTTCTGCTTTACTTAACTAAACATAATTTTGTGAATATTTCTTCACATCTATTGCAGAGACAAATTTTTGGATAAAAATAATTTTAAATACCGGAACTTCAGCATCTATCTAGTTAGGCTTGTTTTTGTCAATTCTTGAATTTTGACTCTAATTTGGGTCACTGGACCTGAGGATAAATGCATATATGTTTGTACATATGAATATTTTATATTTCTAAGAAAAGAAATAGGAATTCCTTATTCCACAGCTCTCTCTGCATGTGAAGTATTGGAAGTCTGACAAATACACACACATATATTTTGTAGAACATCCAATTTAAACAAACACACATGCCATTATTTCGGTCCTACTTTAGGAGTATGTTTATGGAATGTACCCTGCAGTTCACCTTGGTAGTTCGACTTCTTTGAATTTACTAGCCACTTTTTTCAAACGACAATGTAAGCGACTTACAGGGGGTCGAATTTAAGAAACAATGAGAATAACACAGTGAGACAAAATAAACGAAAATTGAAATACCTGGGAAGTGACACTATTTTTCTGAAAGGTGGATCCGAGTAGAACAAGAATATTTTTTTGAAATTTGCCAAACACCTCCAAAATCTTGAGTTACGGGTAAAAACCCGGTTTTTCCTACCTTTAAGCACTTATAGGTCAGTAACTTAGTTGAATCTGAACCGATTTTAAGTTTCTTCACGGATTTAGAAAGCAAAAGCTGAGGCCTATATAACGTTTAAGCAACCTGGAGAGATATGTGTGCATTTCATCAGCAAACATAATTTTTATTTTATTTTTGCACCGTTGTCCAAGTTTGGAGATGTTTTTTGAAAGTATTTTATATAGGAACCGTACTATTTATTAATTGATTAGAAACCCATGTCTATTCATGAGAAAAACGCAACTTTATTTTTAAAAATCCATAAGCAATTGACGACGTTATTGATCTTTTTCTTAATACAAAATTGTTCAAAAACTGATTTTCTGAAGGATGCTTTATATGGGGGATAGGGTTAAATATGGGCCGATCCTCGAAAAATTTGGTGGAAGGATTTATGTTTATATAAAAGTTATTTATGCTGAATTTCATCTTGATATTAATGTTAAGAGGAGATTTATGGAATTCAAGTCATTTTCTGAAGGAGGGTTTGTATGGAGGCTAGGATCAAATAAGATCATATGTCTAAAGAATCAGCACTATCACTAAAGATTACAGCAAACTGAATTATACCGATTTTTGTTTTGATCGGACCTTATCTGATCCTAGTCTCCATGCAAATCTTCCTTAAGCAAACGCCTTTTATTCCATACTTCCCTAAATAACATCAATATCACGATGAAATTCAGCGTAAATAACTTCAGTTTTTGGACAATTTTGTATAAAAAAAAAGTTCAATAACGTCGTCAATTGCTAAAGAATTTTTAAAAACAAAGTTGCGTTTTTCTCATGAATAGACATGGGTTTTTAATCAATTAATAAATAGTACGGTTCCTATATAAAATACTTTCAAAAAACATCTCCAAACTTGGACAACGGTGCAAAACTAAAATAATAAATATGTTTGCTGATGAAATGCACACATATCTCTCCAGGTTGCTTAAACGTTATATGTGTCATTATATAGGCCTCAGCTTCTGCTTTCTAAATCCGTGAAGAAACTTAAAATCGGTTCAGATTCCAATAAGTTACTGACGTATATGTGCTTAAAGGTAGGAAAACCGGTTTTTTACCCGTAACTCAAGATTTTGGAGGTGTTTGGCAAATTTAGTATCAATATAGTATCACTTCTCAGGTATTTATTTTTGTCGCATAGTGTAATTGTAAAAACATGTAAAATTTGGTGGGAAATATCCCAGAAATAACATGGTAATCACTTGTACTTACTCAACAAATTACTTTTCAATGACTACTACATGCTGTCTGCATTACTTAGCAGGAGCCTAGTAATGACTTACAAATAATATATTAAGTAAGTACTTACTTTTTAGTCTCGACATATTGTTTTTGAACATTCTTTTTAACACAA